GGTTACCTCAGAGACCACCTCTGCTTCCCTCTCCATGTGGAGACCCCTGAGCTAGGTCCCCCACGGTCACCTCTGAGACCACCCCTGCTTTCCTTCTACTGAAAATGTTTTTGTTTAGATACATCAGTGAGACAGTTAGGTTGGCTTTGCTGTCTTGGAGGTGATTTCTGCATAGACAGCTCCACTCCCTTCCAAATATGTCAGTTTCCTGTGTGACCCTGGCTGGTGAGTGGTGGGTGAGGGCAGGGTGACAGGCCTGCAGAGACCTCCCATGCTGGGGCAGGTTTTGCTGGGAAGTCTGACATTGCCTTTGCCAATGCTGGGCTACAGGTCCAAGCTTATAGTCTGTGGCTTCAGGAGAGATTTCAGTTCTTATACTCCCTGGCCCCTGAGAACCCCAAATTCCCCCAGAGAGCAGGGCCGGCCACGCTGCACATCCAGGCTCCCTGAATGGGCTCCTGGCATCCTCCTGTCTCAGGGTCCTGTCCTGTAACTATGCGCTCACAAGTGGCCCACACAGCAGTGCTTCAGACCAGCCTTTGTGTAATGAACAAAGTCATAAAATGCTGCCATCCAGCTCTCGGCGAACCAATATTTAAAAGCTCAAGAGTCCGGCTGGAGTGGAGAAGAGAACCTTAGCAGAGAATACCGCAGCCAGAAGACCACGTAGAAGCCAGCCCCAATTAGATCTAGTTTTGTGAGGTTCCTGGGGCAACAGAGGGAGGGAAGATTTGATAGTCTTCTGTTTCTTCTATTAAAGCAACAAATCATAAAACCTATCTTATAGAATATATCTTTAATTTTTTTTTCTGGTCTTAATCACTGCAAATTTAAAAAACAAATGGAGAAGCTGAAAGAAAGAAATTAGGGGAACAGAAAAGACGTAGAAGGAACAATCCAAAGAGGACACGAGGAGGGGAAGGAGGGGACACGAGGAGGGGAAGAAGAAGGGGACGTGAGACCTCGGAGGGCTCGCCTCGCTCTGTCAGGCTCCTCCCTGGCTCCCTCCTGCCCTCCGCCCTAAGACAGGAGTGCCACTCCCAGTGGCCTTTGCTGACTCTGGTGGGGTTGGTGGCTCTGCCTGGTGGCTCTGGCTTGGGTGTCTTCTTGGCACTCCCGGCTTGCCGCTGCTCTAGCACCTTCCATCTTCTGTCATCGTTGTCTGTCTCTGTGAGTGTCTCCTGGCACATGGAGTTTCTTCAACGCCAGTCACCCTCACCTGAGATTCCCCAGCACAGACAGAAGTGCATGTGTCCGGCCAGGCTTCCAGGAGGCCTGCGTGGGAGTGAAGACACCAGGGTGGAAGCAGAGAGGCACTCACCCCCAGACCCAAGCAGAGAGGCACTCACCCCCAGACCCAAGCAGAGAGGCACTCACACCCTGACCCAGTGCCCAGTGGCCTTCACCCATCCTGGAGTCCCCTCGCTCCTCATCCCTAGAGTGTGGAGGGCTTCTGAAGGAGGCCTTGGCCAGCACTGCCTGGCACATTGGCACAGCAGGAGCCTCTTCCACATGCCTCCCTGCGCACAGGACATTTCTTACTGAATTGTTCACTTGTTTGCTAGGATCGTCCCACATTCGATGTCTCGTGACAGCTGGAGAATGGGTCTGGCCCCAGATCTGCTGCGTCACTCTCAAGCCTGGGCCAGGGCTAGCTGTTGCAGGGGTGACCACAAGCTAAGGCTGCCTGGACCTCTTCACATGTGACCTCAACCAGGCAATCTCCAAGCCAAGTAGGAGAGACTGTGTCCTTTCTGTGCACAAAAATGAAAACTAAGGCTCAAAGAGCCTAAGGGTCAGGCTCAAGATCACGTAATTCTCCCAGAAACTCATTCTCCTTTAGTCCCGGCCGCCCACGTGGTGACCGGCCGCAACAGGCAAAGGTCTTGACTGTGGTGGCCCCACGCTTTCCACATTTCTGTGGGTGGCATCAGAAGTTATGAATTCTCATTTGCAGCTCAGAGGTGGGCCTCGGTGACCTTTCAAGTCATATGTTACCCAAGCCTCATAAGGGGATCAGTGGAGAGCCATTGTGTGTGTGAGGGGCCTCATTTTAAAGAAGGCTTACCCTGGAGGCTGCGTGCTGAGGAAGTGGTCCTCGCGTGTGGGTGGCCATCGTGCCCTGGAGATGGATGGGTGCTGGGGTCTCTTCCCTTCGACATGGATGCATGCTGGGATCTCTTCCCAAGGAGCTGCACCCACAGGTGCCCTCCATAGACCTCGAAGGAAGGACACCTGTCTCGGTGGCAGAAAGTCAGTGTCCCCGAGTAAAAGTCCATGTCTGAAATTAGGAGCTGGTACCTGGAGAAGAACGTGAAGACCTGATGGCCACGGCGTGGTGATGTTTGGAGAATTTCCAGCACTCCTCTATGCCGGGCTGGGGCCAGTTTCTAGAAGGATGTTTGGGTTGTGTTTTGCAGACATTTAAAGCATCTCTTGAGCACTCTGGTTTCATGAGTCTGCTTTATCCTTCTACCATTTCTTAACTACAGCCCGGAATGTTCTGGATGTCCCGCCTCAGGTGCTGTGTGACATGTCCTTGGATGGCACCTTCCAAGGCTGTTTTGAGACTGAGACTGTTGGCACAGGGGGTGGGGTGCAGCACACGGAGAGGGGCAGCTCAGATTAGAGGGCGTGTGTCTGTGCGCGCAGCCACCTCCACATGTGCATGGATGAACACAGGTGTCAGAGACCCAGCTCTCCACGCCCTGCAAAGCCAGGTCTGCTGCCACTTCCAGTGATCCATCTCAGGGCAGGCTTGTCCTCGCCTGCTTCCAGATTAGAATGTTAGCTTGCTTTTGGTGCCCTTTCAAGAATGAGGTGATCAGCCAAGTAAACTTGAAATTGAGGCTTCTGTCACTGAGGGTCTCCCCACAGTCTCCTCCTTCCCCTGCCCCCAGCACCCCTGGCCTCCGAAAGGTGGGTCCTGCCTGTGCCCCAGGGCTGCCACTCCTTCCACGTTCCTCAGCTGTCCCTTTAGACGAGGCTCTTCAGCCTGCACTGTTGAGGTTGGGGCTGGACACTTCCTTGTTGTGGGATGCCCTGCGTGTTGTATGATGTTTAGCAGCCTCCGTGCCTCCCTTGCCGGACACCCGCGGGACCAGGGCCCCCAGTCATGACAGTCACAAATGCCTTCGGTCATTACGAGATGTCCCCAGGCCGGCAGCGGTGCTCCCAGTTACGAAACCCTGCATTATGTCTGTTCTATTATCTTCCTGGAAGCATGGGGCCTGCACTCTGGGGAGCTGTGGCCGTGTCTCCTCGGGCCTCTCTGTGCCTGCCTGCAGTCTGGCCTTGGTGCTGATTAGAAAGACTCCCTTGGAGTGCCCCCTCCCCCGGTGTGTGTGCTTGACTGTGGGACCCCAAGACAAATGTTGGCTTCTCTCAGTTCACCCCGGAAGCCTTGGCCAGCCTCAGTGCCGTTCAACACCACAGCAGAAGTCTAACTGTAAATAACGTCGCAAGAAACTCGTCAGTAACCTAAGTCAGTAACGCTTCAGTACTGAAAAGTTCCTTGGCAGTGAGATTCAGACGATCAAACTGAAATGCTCTC